CTATTGAGCGGCTCCCTCAGAAGAATGAAAGAGCGGTGGCCGAGTAAAAATGAGCGGCGGTTCTTCTGGTCTGTGCTCTCTGTGGATGGAATATAGAAGCAGAGAGTGAGACAAGAGCAGCTCTTGTAATATGATCTTAGAGCAAGAGTCAGACAGACTCAGGAATGATTTGGTTCTTTTGGCTCCTTTGCATCTTTGAATCTGGCTCTCAATGGATCAAGATTGAAATGATATAGTTCTTTAGCTCCTTGCGCCTTCTCAATTATACTGATTGAGATCCGCTCAGAGATATTTTGCACAGCTGACTTTTTTTTATAATGTATTGCTGGGACTTGTAGTCCCGCATAGCTGGTGGTATTCTGCATTGCTGTATGATTATTATAAAGCAATGCAGAATAGCACCAACTATGTAGGACTACAAGTCCCAGCAATGCATTATAGTGGTGGGGGGAATGCTGGGGGTATTCTGCATAACAGACAAGCAATGGTTTTACTTTAAAAATAACTCCCGTTCCCTCCCTCAAACTACATCCCCTTCTCATTTCCTCTCCTACCATAGTAAAAAGAGCAGTTTAGTGAACCATGAGTCGTTTAAAAGATCCGGATCTTTTCAGTGAGCGATCCGTAGAGGGGCGCTCATGCAGATGAACCGTTTTGCCCATCTCTACTGATAACAACATGAGTGATTTCTGGTGACAACTCTGCCAGTATTCGGCATGCCCCGCCTACTAAACATCACATGACTCGCCACACCTCCCAGCATGCTCTGCCTTGTAGTACAGTGCTCGATGACAGGTCCCGCCCCCTGGATAGCAGGCCCCGCCCTATGTGTGCAGACGTGCAGCCAGTCACAGGTCGGTGCAGCAGTGTGGTCGGTCACCTATACATATACCGGGCTCGGGGGTGTCGGTCCAGTCAGTGATGTCCGTATACATGGCGGTGAGGTTGGGCCGTGTGCTCCAGGGAAAGTTGCCGATCTCCCCCATGTGTGTCCGAACTCTTCATATACCGGCGGTCCGCTCCCGGGGCAGAGCTGGCTCCTCCGTACTGCTGGGGGTGGCGGTGGCGGCCGGGCTGGCGGCGGGCTTCTCCCGGGCACATCGGGTGGAGATGGCGGCCTCGGTGGAGGACGATGTGGATCAGCGCTGTCAGACGTTCATGGCGGCCCCGGTCACCTCTGTGCAGCACCTGAAGAAGAACAGCTGGGACACCAAGAGCAGAATGGAGCTTCTCATCATGGAGATCCAGGCCGAGGTGTGCCGGGCATTGGAGAGGGCTGACGGAGTCAGCTTGGGCTCTGTGCTGGGCGCTGGCCTGTGCCAGCTTGGGCTCTGTGCGGGGCCTGTGCAAGTTTGGGCTGTCTGTGGGAGTGCTGATCGCGGTGTCAGCTTGGGCTGTCTGTGGGGCGCTGGCCTGTCCTTGGGCTGTCTGTGGGAGACTGAGTGCTGTGCCAGCTTGGGCTGTCTGGGGGGTGCTTTTTTTATGTAAAATAACACAGCGGCTGTTTTTTCCATCCAGGTCTGAACACTCTATAATGAAGTGCTGGATTGTTCTTGTTGCAGGTGGAGGAGGCGTTAGCTGTGTTCTTCAGGATAGCAAAGTCTTTGAGAAAGCAGGAGTCAATGTGTCTGTGGTCCATGGCTACCTGTCAGAGGAATCCGTCCAGCAGATGAAAAGTCGAGGAAAGAAGCTTAAGATGAAAGATGGTAAAAGCTTCCTTGGCATGTAACTTTATTCTGCACCTATCCGATTTCTGTGCACAGAATGAAGTTGTAACAGTGAGTTGGTGTGAACACACAGAAGAACCAGATGGCAAATTGCCTTGTCTGTGCTTTGGGCAACACTACCCAACATGGCTGGTGTGAATGGCCCTTATTGCTTTACAGTTAATGTAGTTATTCAACTCTTAAATGGTTTTCAATAATGAATCCAGATCAAACAAATATACATGGCCCAGCAAAGTATTTCTTTATACTTTGGCCCAAGCACTTAGTCATCATGTTTCCAAGCATTTAGCTCCACTTCCCTGAACTTCCTGTACAGGACAAGATTGTTTGTTTTTGTTTTAACTGTATCCATATCACATATTGAGCTCATCAGCCCCTATCCACTTTAGTTGTGACATGTCCTCTTTATGGAGACATTAGGGGTTAATTCTAGAGTCTGCTTACATATGGCAGTAAAAATGTTAACTACATGTAAAATGACTTAAAGCAGATCCCTGGGCAAAACATTTCTTAACTCTTGCAGTGGGGCTACCCTCACACTGCAAGGGTTAAGTGTCTAGGTGCTAAAATTAAGGAAAAGTAATACTCACCTGATCCTCCGAGCCAGCTTGCTCTTAGACCGGCCCCTGGAGCCTCTCTCCTCCTCTGCTGCAGTGGTCTAAGGTCAATGGGTCATTACGTCTAATATACTGCGCTACAAGAGTTAAGAACAGTTTTGCCCAGAGGTCTGCTTTAAAAACCTTTTAACATTGAAGGAGAACTATGAGGCGAGTGAAAATCACTCAGCCTCATGGTTCTAGCCGACCTGTGACAATGAAACTATCACAGGTCGGCTCAATAGATCGGGAAGTGAGCGAACACATAGCGTCGCTCGCTCACTTCTCGATCTATCCCTGCAGAGAGTCGTGACTGTCCCTCACGGCTCCCTGCAGCGATTTCCCCCCTTCCCCGCTCCGATTCTCCAGCACTGACTAGCGGGACGGGGGAGGGGGCGGGTGCAGCTGGCTCTGCCTCCTAGATAGGTAGAGCCAGCTGTAACTCGCAGAGCTGGGCGGATCTCGACAGTAATGTCGGGATCCATCCCGGCTGCGGCGTCTCAGTATACCGCGAGCTGTAGCTCACGATATACTGAGCTTTGGATGACGGGAGGACGCTAGTTTTATGTCCTCCTGTTACCCTTAGGAGAACTATGGGGAAAAGCACTGACCCCATAGTTCTCCTTTTAATATCACTTTAAAAAAGCCTAAAAAAGCCTTTTTCCTGCAGTATGTAAAATAAACAGATTTGCTGGCAAGTGGCTTGTGAAGATTTCCTGGCCATTTCCTCCTTAAAATATAATGCCGGTGTTCTTTTTCAGGGAAACTTCCTTTCTCTGCTATGGGAGTCAGTTCAGTGATCCACCCGAAGAACCCTCACGTCCCCACCATCCACTTCAACTACAGATACTTTGAGATTGAGGAGGCTGATGGTAAGAATGTGAATAGAATGTAAGCTTTGCTTGACCAGTATGTTCTGTATTGTATTCTCCTGTGTATAATGTGTCGGGTACCACCTCTAGAAGCTTGTTGCTGCTGCTTGAACCACTTGTGGAATTTCTATCAATAACCCTGGGGAGATTCGCCCTCGTTTTATCCTTCCATTGTCACCAAGACAGAAAGTAATGAGACCTTCTTCACATTGTACAATTTGTCATCTTAACAGTAAGTGAGGGGAAATCTTCCGATGGGGAGTTCTGGTGACTGTCTAAGAATGAAATTCTCACTTTCTCCAATCCTCTTCCAGGACAGCAACCTAAGTAGGCTTGCTGTCCTGGAAGATTCTAAGAAACAGCGGTACAGGTAAGACTAACTGGACATTTTGTAGACCTGTTCTCTTACTTCCTATTGTGTCTTTGGAAAAGGAAGCAAAGGCGAATCTCCCCATTTAGATACCAAAAGTTAAAATGACAGGGACACAGATTTTAGACCCCGTTTACACCAGGGCGATTTCGTCGTGCAGATTTTTCTGCGCTGAAGCACATGCAAATAAAATCCCATATATTCCTATGAGGTCCGTTTATGAAACGCATGGAATCGCGTGTACAAATATGCCTGTCGCCTGAAATAGTCCCTGAGCTTCTTCTTCTTTTTTTCTTGCTGCTCAGCTAGTTTTGCTCCATAGACTTCAATGGAAATGCGTTGATTAGTGCATTTTGAGTGTTTCGAGTTGGTTTTTTTATGCGCGTTTCAGCAGCTAAGCCTGCTTCTCATTGGACAGCTGAAAATTAACTTAAAATGCGCTGACATATGAACAGAAACCGCCTAAAAAAAATGTACGCAAACAGCACTGAAACACTGTCATCCTGGTGGGACTGGAGGCTTAACTCTTCCCTGCTCTATCCCCCTCTTCAAAAAACAGGTTTTGCATTTACATACACTTTAACCACTTCCTCCTCATCTCCTCCTTGAACCCTTGAAAAGGTTTTTTTTTTTCTTCATCTCTCCAAGACGACTTTTGTGTTTTATCTTCCTCAGGCAATAAGCAATGGTGGTTTGGAGGTGGAACAGACCTGACGCCAACGTACCTGAACCAGGAAGATGTGGTACATTTCCATCAGACTCTGAAGGAAGCCTGTGATAAACACAGCCCTGGGTTCTACCCCAAGTTTAAGAAGTGGTATGTTGTTGTTTAGTAAATAATAATAATGTTGTTATTCCTATATTATTTTTATAGTTAATCACTTTTTAGGTTTACTATTTTGTTGTTATGTTATTTATTTTAAGCAGCTTCTGATTTAGGGGAGATCATAGTGAGTTTGTGTGTGTGTGTATATTTATTTGTATGCTGAAGCTTAAATATTATTTAATGTTTTCACGCAACATTTGCAAAACTTTCACCTAAGATTTACACATTTTTCTAATTGGATTATACTGGGGAAAATGTGTGAGTCCTGGGTGAAAGTTGTGTGAATCTTCTAAATGGGCCCTGAAGCGTGTACAAATATTTTTTGTGGAAATACGGTTTACATCTGTCTGTGTGTAGCTGCTTCAGGGCAGATGTAGATTTCCAGCTAGAGCCAAGTATACGCTGTTATACTTTCTTCCTTCAACCTGAGGGCTGGACAAAGAAAATATAACAATATATTATATGAAAAAAATAAAGGTGAAACTCAAAAAATTAGAATATTGTGGAAAAGTAATTGCAGTAAGTGCTGCAAAAGGGGCCCAAACCAAGTACTGAGTACATATGCATGCTTGTACTTTTCAGAGGTCCGATATTGTTCTATGTACAATCCTTGTTTTATTGATTGCATGTAATAATCTACTTTTTTGAGGTTGTGGATTTGGGGTTCTTGGGGTTTTCATGAGCTGTAAGCCATAATCATCACAATTATGACAAATCACGGCTTGAATTATCTTGCTTTGCATGTAATGAGTCTATCTCATATATTAGTTTCACCTTTTAAGTTGCATTAGTGAAATAAATGAACTTTGCACGATATTCTAATTATTCGAGTTTCACCTGTATATGGATTCTTCCATCAATGCTTACGATGGAGGAGTGATGATGCTTACTATAATGGAGGAATCCCCTGCTGTTTTGCATTGCATTCTTACAGCAGCCGCTGGCCACTGTCGGATTACCTGAACGGAGCTTGCAGCTGACTGGCCGAACATTTTCCAACCTGCTCCTTCAATCAGCTGATCGAGGGATTGGAAGGGTGCCAAGGGGCACCCACTGTGTGAATTTTCTCCACTTCATCTTTAGAACTGGCTAAAATTTACAGTGTAGGGCCTACTTCAGACTCCCATGCATCAGGCTGAACTTGTCCACCCTGCAGAACTTTTTTTCTTAAAGGCACCAGGCACACCTGCACGCTATTGGGCCACTGCTTTTAGTATTCAACAAACCCAGTAAGTATCAGCAGAGGCGTGCAAATAAAAACAAAAACCTACTTGTCCAAGGACTAAAGCGTGGGCCCAGCAGGCTGCTTACAAGTGATCTGGACAGCTGTACAGCCCCCCGGATCACTTGTACAAAACGAGTAGCGGCTTCCCTCGCTCTACATTTTCTTACTAAATGTTGAAAGAAAAAAAAGCCACCTGTCTGGAACTACATGTCCCGGGCATCGGGCAATAGGAATTCTGCACCCCTGATCAGGTGGGGGGAGGGTATACTGAGCATGGCCTGATGCAGCTAGAGTTTAGTTTGGGCTCTTAGGTGGTCATCTCCATCTTCCCTAATCTGTCATTTTGCAGAATTTCATAAATGGAACAAACCATGTGGCTTAACAACTGCCACGTGCCCCAAAGAAACGTAACTTCATCCAAGCCCCATCTCCTTTCTGTGGTAATCAGCATCTTGTATGGAACACACATGCTGGATGCTCAGATAAAGAGGGTGCGTTGGTGTAATCTGAGCTGTTACCGGGAACTGTCAGCCACTATCGGCAAACACAGTATATTGATGAGTGCGGTCCTGGCCATCTCCGCTTACTACCTGACTTTTAGCAGTTATTCTTTTCACTGCTGCCAGAAACCTACAAAAAACCCCTTTGAACTTGCTTTGGCTTGTGTTTTATGATTATACAAATACATGTTACTGTTGTTCTATACAATAATTTAGAGTGTTGGTAAATGCCATGGCAGAACCAAAATGTCCAAAGCTTACCAAAATAAGTCAATAAAATGGGATGTTTTAGATGTTTATTGGTAGTTCAATGTGGTTTTTATGCTACCTGTCAGTGTAGGGAATAAACAAAGGGCAGCTTGGTTACCCGTTTAAGTAGCTGACCCACTTGTCCTAAATAGGGGTTTAAAGGGGTTAAACAAAAATGTTGGATATTTATACTGCACACACACCTGTAATTCGCCATTCTTCCTTTCTGGTTATCCATTGGCGCTACATGCTGGTTCTGGTGACTATGCAGAATATATTTCACCAAGAGATGTCTGCACAGAACAGCATGGATTGGTGTCATATTTGTAGACTTCATAAAATTGCCCAGTGTTTAACCTTTTGGATATGTCCCTGTAGGTGTGGTGACTTAATGGACATGTCCCTGTAGGTGTGGTAACCTATTTGATATGTCCCTGTAGGTGTGGTAACCTATTTGATATGTCCCTGTAGGTGTGGTAACCTATTTGATATGTCCCTGTAGGTGTGGTAACTTATTGGACATGTCCCTGTAGGTGTGGTAACTTATTGGACATGTCCCTGTAGGTGTGGTAACTTATTGGATATGTCCCTGTAGGTGTGATGACTACTTTTTCATCAAGCACAGAGGAGAGCGCAGAGGAGTTGGAGGAATCTTCTTTGACGATCTGGACTCCCCATCTAAAGAGGAGCTCTTCCAATTTGTACAGAGCTGTGCCAAATCTGTAGTGCCATGTTATATCCCTATAGTGATGAAGCACAAGAGTGACCCTTTCACCCCAGAGGAAAAACACTGGCAGCAGCTAAGAAGAGGACGGTGAGTACATTATACCTATAGTACTAAAACAAATTTCCTTATGAATAATTTGCAGAGAGTTTCTGATTCTTCCAAATAGTTTAGAATGGCGATAGTGACTTCAGGTAAGTTGCAGCAATTTGAAGACATTTCTGGTTTCTTCAGAAAAACTAACTGGAAGAAAAGGAAACTCTTTACAATTGTCACCTATTGCGTCCTGCCTTATCTGTGCAGCAAGGTTGCTTGTCTGTGTCCCCATATTATATGACTGCAGTGGTCTGACCTTAAAGTGGATGTCTGAGCTCTAACTGCTTCACTACTGGAGCACCTTGTTTACACAATCTGAATTTTTGGATAGAAGATTACTTTAAACACCCATATTTTATATTTTCTGAAAGCAGACGCCCTGTGGAATAGAACAATGTTAGCTGCATTATTTTATGTCTCACAATATTTTTAAAAATGCACTAAAATTAATTTTAGTGCACACCATACAATACCCAATTTTGGTAAAATATATGAAAGTTGTCATCTGAAGTAAATGGATCCCAAACATGACAAACCTCAAAAATATGCAAGCCCATGCAATGGTGAAAGGCTATGCGACGCTTTAAAAGCCTTTACGTCTCATTAGTATTGAGTTAACTGAATCACGGCCCGAGAATTATTGCTCTCACGTTGACATTTGCAGAGATATCTAACGTGTGGCGCAAATGCTGTTTACAGACATGTGCGTGCCCTACGCACGTGTTTGCATTCACATGTAGGGGGTCATGGGTTGCTTTTAAATTTATATTATTCTTTACTTTTTAACACTTCTTTTTTTCCCCACTTTATTGTAGTCCCAAGGGGGCTCAACCCTTTTATGATAGTGACGGGTTCTCTATCTATCTATAATTTGTACACACTTTATACACACAATAGGTAGTGCTCTTGTCTTATTGAAAG